GGCCACACTCAAGCTCACACACACACACACACACTCTCATACTCTCGCGCGCACACACACACACACACACACACACACACACACACACTCTCCTGTTGGGTAAATAGAGCTCAGAGACGGCACATCCTGCAGCAGGAAACAAAGCTCAGATCATGAGAGTGTGTGTGTAGGAGTGCACACACACACACACACACACTGAAGGTAAATACAGCGAGAGTGGCTGAAAGACACATGAGCTTTGTGTGAGGTGTTGCATTCGGATGAAATGGTGGTCGTGTGGAGGTACACTTCCAGCTTGTGTCTAAATCAGATAAATGATGTACACGTAGAAATGAATAATCTTTTCCGCTCACACTGGAAAGTTGCGTCTTCACCTGTACATACTGACAGTGTCTCTGTGTGTTAAATATCTAATAAATACATAAAATGCATACATAAAGTAATAAATAAATTTATGATCAGTAAGATTTTTTTCTGTTTTTTTAAAGGTTTCTTATGCTCATCAAGACTGCATTTATTTGATTAAAAATACAGAAAAAAACTGTAATATTGTGAAATTATTACAATTTAAATTAACTGTTTTCTATGTGAATATTTAGTAAAATGTCATTTATTCCTGTGATGTAAAGCTGAATATCTCAGCATCATTCCTCCAGTCTTCAGTGTCACATGATCCTTCAGAAATCATTATAATATGCTGATTTATTATCAGTGTTGAACCTGTTGTGCTGCTTAATATTTTTTTGGAACCTGTGATATTTTTCATGATTCTCTGATGAATAAAACGTTCAAAAGAACAGAATTTATTTAAGATACAACTTTTGTAACATTGTACACTACCATTCAAAGGTTTGGGGTCAGTAATTTGTTTTCTTTCTTTTTTTTGTTTTTAAGTAAATGAATATTTGTATTCACCAAGGATGTGTTAAACTAATAAAGAGTGATTTAAATCTTTTCAAACAACATAAGTCTTCACATTTAAATAAATGGTGTTCTTTTGAACTTTTTATTCATCAAAGAATCTTAAAAACGTATCACAGGTTCCAAACAAATAAATAAAACACTGATAATAAATCAGCATATTATATAATTTCTGGAGGATCATGTGACACTGAAGACTGCAGTAATGATGCTGAAAATTCAGCTCCGCATCACAGAAATAAATTACATTTTACAACATATTCACACAGAAAACAGCTATTTTAAATTGTCATAATAATTCACAATATTATTGCTTTTTATGTGTATTTGATCAGATAATGCAGCCTGCATACATGTGAATATGTATACAACACAAATGACCACTTTGATGCATGTAATTCTTTCTATTATGTTAACATTGCTAAAGCTTTTTTTTAAGCACACGAGAGGAGTAAACCCGACTGAAGAAAACACTAACAGTACTGAGCTTCCTCGTACACCTGACGCTGATGTTGTTTTGTGTTCGTTTGCAGAATTTCCTGTAAGGATCTGAAGAGTATGCTGTGCCAGGTCAACTACAGAGTTCCCAATATGAGGTTCTTACGAGAGAAACTTCCGGTAACAAACACTTCTCTCAGATCACTGCAGAATTAATAGTTCACTTTATAATCGCTGTTATACATTATAAGGTTTTCATGTAATTACTTGGTTAGGATGGAGAGCCGAGGAATGGAGATGTATCTTATAGTCATTTTGCGCAGTTGTACCGCAGCCTGATGTTTGACGCACAGAAATCAGTAAGTCACGTTTATTTGTATGTGTTATTTATATGTGGCCTCTTCAGAGCCACTTAAACCCCATCAGTCGCCCCGCTTCTCAAGTGGCCTTCACGTCAATACTCGCCCTTTTAAAAAGCCACAAGATCCATCAGCTAAAAGCCATTAGGCCACACTCAAGCTCACACACACACACACACACTCTCATACTCTCGCGCGCACACACACACACACACACACACACACACACACACACTCTCATACTCTCACACACACTCTCTCACACACATACACACTCTGTCACACTCTCACACACACACACAGAGACAGAGATAGACGCGGCACTGATGACCCCTGCACTTAAAGCAGTGTGTGTGTGTGTGTGTGTGTGTGTGTGTGTGCTGCATCTCTGATTGTTATCACATCAGTTCATTAGTGTCTATATAAGGTTGGGGTTTAGAGCTCCAGACGTGAATCTGGGTGTTTTACTGTAGTGGTTGTGAAATGGGTGTAGTTACAATACATCAGATATTAATTGCATTATTCACATAATCAGCATTTTGATCTGTGTTGTTTTTGTAGATGGAGATTCCACTGCTGCAAAGGTATTCACTCGCTCTCTTATTTACTTGTATAAGATAAGGTATTTACAGATAACATAAAATAGCATTTGCAACTCATTAAACTTCCATAATATGATGAACTTACGGGTAAAACAGAATTTAAGGATACATAATGTAGGGTTGATTGAATTGATTGGGGTTTATGGAAGCCCATTTCTGAATTAAAAAAAAAAAACTTTTGATCTCACAATTCTGACTTTATTTTTCAGAACTGTGACTTTATAAGAAGTCACAATTACATTGTGTTTTCTTTTTTATTCAGTGACGGAAACAGGCTTCCATAGGATTTTATTGAGCTAATTATATACCATGTTATATGCTATATAATATGTATGTGCATTTACTAATAGGTCTTATTGTGCACAATTCATCAGTTAAAGGGGTCATATGATGCTGCTAAAAAGAACATTATTTTGTGTATTTGGTGTAATGAAATGTGTTTATGCGGTTTAAGGTTCAAAAAACACATTATTTTCCACATACTGTACATTATTGTTTCTTCTCTATGCCCCGCCTTTCTGAAACGTGTCGATTTTTACAAAGCTCTTCGGTCTGAAAAGCGAGGTGTGCTGTGATTGGCCAGCTATCTAGTGCGTTGTGATTGGCCGAATACCTCAAGCGTGTGACGGAAATGTTACGCCCCTCACCATACTGTGATGCCCTGTCCGGCCGGAGCAACGAGACAAAAACATTAAAACCCATTATAAACAAGGCATTTGTTGCATCCAGTGGGGACATAATTACGGATTATAATGACTTAAACTGTCTTTTTATGCGTTGCGTTGCATCGCGCCGCGTAAACATAAAACCATGTCTGTATTTGTGATCGGAGAAATGACAAACAACAAGCCCTACTCTACACTGCCCAAAAAACTTGCTTTAAATATAAAAAATATAAAAACTATTTAAATATAAAAAAACTTACTTGCAGTCTGTGAGTCAGAACAACCGGCATTGTAGGCTACTCTCCCAGGATCAGGAAACAGTCCTCCATAAAATGTGCTGCACACATCTGAATATTTGGGTTGAAGTGTTCTGGAACAGTGTTGTAAATACAACTTAACCACTGATTTCTAGTCGTGTCCATTTTTGGAAGACCAAACAAAGTATTTTCACTTTCACAACGAAACACAGCGTCACACACGGCGGCCTTGAGTGAGCAGAGGCCGGGGGCTAGCGTGAGGAATGGCGGGAGGGTTAGAGTGAACAGAGGCGGGCGGGCTTGAGAACGGCGCGGGCGGCGATTTCGGAAGGACATGTGAGGACCCCGGGCTGGACTCCGCTTCGTCCACGGTGAAAGCTGATCTGGTGATCCACAGCGAAGTTGATGTATTCCCTCAGCGACCAGCACGGATCAGCTCTAGGCATGACGAAGCGGATATCCTCCTCTTTTGGGAGACCAAACAAAGTAGTTTAGCTTTCACAACATGGCGGCGGAAACAACAAAACTACAGCGACAGAGGCCGGGGGCTAGCGTGAGGAATGGCGGGAGGGTTAGAGTGAACAGAGGCGGGCGGGCTTGAGAACGGCGCGGGCGGCGATTTCGGAAGGACATGTGAGGACCCCGGGCTGGACTCCGCTTCGTCCACGGTGAAAGCTGATCTGGTGATCCACAGCGAAGTTGATGTATTCCCTCAGCGACCAGCACGGATCAGCTCTAGGCATGACGAAGCGGATATCCTCCTCTTTTGGGAGACCAAACAAAGTAGTTTAGCTTTCACAACATGGCGGCGGAAACAACAAAACTACAGCGAGAATAAAAGTTATGTCTTCTTTCTTTGCGTGAACATTTGGGCGGCGTTATGCAAATCTTCCCACATAGTGATGTAGACATGTGGGGGCGTGTTAGAACGAGGCGTTTTAGGTAGGTGTGGTTAACTCTTAACTTTTATAAAGAATATCTCTTTGGATTTGAGACTTTAGTCTTTGCAACTTTACAGATCTTCTTTATGCACCAAGAGCTTGTAACACTCCAAAGAAAAAGGAAGAATTTAAATCGCATCATATGACCCCTTAAAAAAAAAAAATTATATGTGTATATATATATATATATTTATTTATTGTCAAACGATTAATCACGTCCAAAATAAGTTTTATTTTACATAATATATGTGTGTGTGCCGTGTATATTTATTATATATATATATATATATATAAATACATATGCATGTATATATTTAAGAAAAATTTTATATTTGTATATTAAATATATTTATATATTATATAAATATATACATGTAAATATTTTCAAAATATTGGCTGGGTATGAGTGTGTATTTATATATAAATAATAAATATACACAGTACACACACATATATTATGTAAACAAATACTTTTATTTTGGATGCAATTAATCGCGATTATCATGTTTTGGAACCCAATATATAGTTTGGTTCCAAAACATGATAAACACCATTTTAAAAAATTTCAAATTTTGGCCATTTCCCGCCAAAATCAGTATTGTATCTGGTTGTAATGGATTGAAAAGTCAATTTTTAATTTTATGCAAAATGTGATATCCGCCGAGTTATTCTGTCATGTTTTCTCCCTTTCTTTCCAAACCGTGACAAACGCCAGTCTCTCTTCTCTGCAGCATGTGATAGATCCGCTCAAACAATCGCAGCGCACCATTCCACGCACTCTAGACAGTAACTGACAAGTTACGCAATATCACGTTCATAATCGCAGATGAATCGCCTTCGATTATGAATGCCATATTGCGTAGCTTGTCAGTGAACTACGGCTCTGTGTATTAAATGCCGCTCCATCTGAATGCACGTGATGGAGATTTACTACTAATCACAGAACCGGCTTTACTGACGAGATGTGCATGATAATCACATGCGATTTATTGTGCAGCCCTAAAAAAGTAATAATTTTGACGGCATTGATGAACCTGTGGTGGTTTCTGCAGTGAGGAAGAAACGTAAGCTATTAATAAGATTTTTATTGACCAAGTTCAGAGGCTGTCATATGTGGATCAACTTACTTTGTTGTGTATTTTCAACCGTTTCAATATGAATAATAACTTTTATATTGATTCAATGGATTTATTGCATTTTGGGGGGAAAAATAATCAGGTTTTATAATAAATCTTATCAAAATCTGGATTAGATTTTTTAATGTTATTCTAACCTAAAGATGTTATGTAAAAGTTTGAAACAGAAAATAGTGGTTTTCATCTTGCCACTTTCTTGCACATTTTTACTCAAATTAATAAAAATGGATTTATAGAGTTTTGGAACCAAAGTCTTCATATATATATATATATATATACACACACGCATCCTCCATCTATACTTGATCCTCTAACACTAGCACTCTCTATTCTATTTCTATTCTACAGTATCTACTTGTTTTCTTTTTATTTATTCATAAAAACTTGATCCTTTAACACTTAAACTTTTTACAATACTTGCTTTCTTTTTATTTAAGAAATAGAGCCTCTAACACTAATGTAACCTATTCATTTTCTCTTCTATCTACTTGTTTTCATTTTATTTATTATAAAAAACAAACCTTGCTACGTGTACTGCGTTGGGCTAACCGAGACTTTTCTCAGCATTGCTCTTTTGTTAGTTTTGATTGCTTCTGTTGTCCTCATTTGTAAGTCACTTTGGATAAAAGCTTCTGCTAAATGTAAATGCAAATATATCACTAATGAATTGTGCACAATATGACCTATTAGTAGATGGTCATTATTGTATTTTGCACAATGTTTAATTCATCTGAAGTCTCTTGGGTGTCCAGACATGCTGCTGTAACACTGATCTGTGTGTTTGTGTGCTTCCTCAGGCTTATTGAGAGACCAGAGCAGAAGATCTTACTGGAGGACTTCCAGAACTTCCTGATTGAACATCAGAAGGTTAGACATTCACTTCTCATGTTATTACACAAACAAAACCAGACGTTGTTTACACATGAATTGGACAGATGTATAGTTGTTTGTACAGTACAGCGTGGCGTGTTGGTACAGAAAAGAGATGTTTGGTAGTAACTCTGTGTGTGTGTGTGTGTGTGTGTGTGTGTGTCTGCAGGAGCTCTGGGCTACAGACAATAACAAGGTGCAGGAGTTCATGTTCCTCTACCTGAAGGATCCTCTGCGAGAGATCGAGCAGCCATACTTTCATCAAGACGAGGTGACGTTTACATACACATGCAGTGATTAGTGCATTCTGGGTACGCATGCGTTTAGTTCCTTGGGAAAGAAACCAATAGCTGTGCAGTTGCAAGCACCACGCTTTACCCACATCACCACTTCCTGCTGTGACCTCAGATCTTTGTTTGATATGCCTGATCTGCCTCTTTCTGACCTTAATTACTCGCTTTTGAATTTCCATCTGCTGTTTGAAATAACTACTTAAATGAGGTGTATATTTATTGAACTTTCATGAAGATGTAGCTTACATTTCATGGTATTGTGTTCATATTGTTTTGTTTTTTTGTAGCTAATTGGAGTGGATATTTTCACACAAATTGAGATCCGAATGCATTTTATTTATTCAAGTTTATTGTTTTTAAACGATATGTAGCTATGTATGAACTCCTGTAAAGTAAATAGAAAACCAAATGGCTTATTTAATATTTACTTTGACCTCCTGTCCTTGTAGAACCACTTTTCCGAGTTAATATTCCCTTCACTTATAATTTGTTGAAAAAGACCAGACCAGTTTTTTTTGTACCCCTTCATGAGAATTGGTGTTTAGCTCTTAAGCCAGTTTTAGTGTTGAACAGGCTACTTGCTCATGCTTACTTGCTGTTTGTAACGCAAGCGTCATGTTTTGCGGTTCTCAGCTGCTCACGTATCTGTTCTCTAAAGAGAACACTATCTGGGACTCGCAGCTCGATCAGGTGAGGCCCGAGGACATGAACAACCCCCTGTCCCACTACTGGATCTCCTCGTCCCACAACACGTGAGTAGAGGAGTGACCAGCACTCCCTCTAAACTACACACTAATGTGAGCAAAAAACTAAGAAATGGACTGGTGTCTTTTCAGTATGTTTTCAGTAGTTTCAGTTATACAGTGCTAATTAATCAAGAATCTGTATGTTTTTAAATTCTCTCTACAGGTAGCAAGTAACTAGTCAGATAAGTTATCAACAGACAGATAAAGGACCGTAATGTGTGGTCTCTAGATAATTTACATTCATCCATTTTGTTAGTTGGTCATCCATTGGTTAGGTAGTTGGTTGGTCGGTCCATTATTTGGTTAGTTGGTCAGTTTTGTTTTAGTTGGTCAGTTATAGTTAGTGTAAAATTGATCATCCTCAAAGAACCAGAATGTTAGATAATGGGAAAAGGGTTTGTTGGTTGGTTTGTTTGTTAGTTTGTGTATAAAATAATTCTTCCTCAAGCAACCAAAATGTTAGATGATGGAAAATGTTTTGGTTTCTGTTGGTACAGTGGTGGCCAAAATTGTTAGAACACTTGGCATATTTAAAAGGTTTCAGTTGTTTTTGTTGAATTGGCCATTACAATACCCATAAAACGAAGTATTCGCGGATCTACCTGCGATGGAAGGAATCTGCTGCAACATTGAAAATGATGGACTGGCTCCTCAAAGTCCAGACCTCAACCCCATCGAGCAAATTTGGAGCGAGTTGGAAAATAAACTGGACAGATCTATTGTACATTCAAAGGAAAGCCTTTGGCTTGAGTTGCAGAAGGCATGGGATAACATTAGTTTTGTACGACTAGAGATGTGCTGCTATAATTGCTGCAAAAGGTTAAAACAGTACAACTCGCTTCATCTGATATTTGTTGTGCTCAGAGCAACCATCTGCATGTTTAATGAACATTATGTAACTTTTATATTGATTCAATGGATTTATTGCATTTTGGGGGGAAAAATAATCAGGTTTTATAATAAATCTTATCAAAATCTGGATTAGATTTTTTAATGTTATTCTAACCTAAAGATGTTATGTAAAAGTTTGAAACAGAAAATAGTGGTTTTCATCTTGCCACTTTCTTGCACATTTTTACTCAAATTAATAAAAATGGATTTATAGAGTTTTGGAACCAAAGTCTTCATATATATATATATATATATACACACACGCATCCTCCATCTATACTTGATCCTCTAACACTAGCACTCTCTATTCTATTTCTATTCTACAGTATCTACTTGTTTTCTTTTTATTTATTCATAAAAACTTGATCCTTTAACACTTAAACTTTTTACAATACTTGCTTTCTTTTTATTTAAGAAATAGAGCCTCTAACACTAATGTAACCTATTCATTTTCTCTTCTATCTACTTGTTTTCATTTTATTTATTATAAAAAACAAACCTTGCTACGTGTACTGCGTTGGGCTAACCGAGACTTTTCTCAGCATTGCTCTTTTGTTAGTTTTGATTGCTTCTGTTGTCCTCATTTGTAAGTCACTTTGGATAAAAGCTTCTGCTAAATGTAAATGCAAATATATCACTAATGAATTGTGCACAATATGACCTATTAGTAGATGGTCATTATTGTATTTTGCACAATGTTTAATTCATCTGAAGTCTCTTGGGTGTCCAGACATGCTGCTGTAACACTGATCTGTGTGTTTGTGTGCTTCCTCAGGCTTATTGAGAGACCAGAGCAGAAGATCTTACTGGAGGACTTCCAGAACTTCCTGATTGAACATCAGAAGGTTAGACATTCACTTCTCATGTTATTACACAAACAAAACCAGACGTTGTTTACACATGAATTGGACAGATGTATAGTTGTTTGTACAGTACAGCGTGGCGTGTTGGTACAGAAAAGAGATGTTTGGTAGTAACTCTGTGTGTGTGTGTGTGTGTGTGTGTGTGTGTGTGTGTCTGCAGGAGCTCTGGGCTACAGACAATAACAAGGTGCAGGAGTTCATGTTCCTCTACCTGAAGGATCCTCTGCGAGAGATCGAGCAGCCATACTTTCATCAAGACGAGGTGACGTTTACATACACATGCAGTGATTAGTGCATTCTGGGTACGCATGCGTTTAGTTCCTTGGGAAAGAAACCAATAGCTGTGCAGTTGCAAGCACCACGCTTTACCCACATCACCACTTCCTGCTGTGACCTCAGATCTTTGTTTGATATGCCTGATCTGCCTCTTTCTGACCTTAATTACTCGCTTTTGAATTTCCATCTGCTGTTTGAAATAACTACTTAAATGAGGTGTATATTTATTGAACTTTCATGAAGATGTAGCTTACATTTCATGGTATTGTGTTCATATTGTTTTGTTTTTTTGTAGCTAATTGGAGTGGATATTTTCACACAAATTGAGATCCGAATGCATTTTATTTATTCAAGTTTATTGTTTTTAAACGATATGTAGCTATGTATGAACTCCTGTAAAGTAAATAGAAAACCAAATGGCTTATTTAATATTTACTTTGACCTCCTGTCCTTGTAGAACCACTTTTCCGAGTTAATATTCCCTTCACTTATAATTTGTTGAAAAAGACCAGACCAGTTTTTTTTGTACCCCTTCATGAGAATTGGTGTTTAGCTCTTAAGCCAGTTTTAGTGTTGAACAGGCTACTTGCTCATGCTTACTTGCTGTTTGTAACGCAAGCGTCATGTTTTGCGGTTCTCAGCTGCTCACGTATCTGTTCTCTAAAGAGAACACTATCTGGGACTCGCAGCTCGATCAGGTGAGGCCCGAGGACATGAACAACCCCCTGTCCCACTACTGGATCTCCTCGTCCCACAACACGTGAGTAGAGGAGTGACCAGCACTCCCTCTAAACTACACACTAATGTGAGCAAAAAACTAAGAAATGGACTGGTGTCTTTTCAGTATGTTTTCAGTAGTTTCAGTTATACAGTGCTAATTAATCAAGAATCTGTATGTTTTTAAATTCTCTCTACAGGTAGCAAGTAACTAGTCAGATAAGTTATCAACAGACAGATAAAGGACCGTAATGTGTGGTCTCTAGATAATTTACATTCATCCATTTTGTTAGTTGGTCATCCATTGGTTAGGTAGTTGGTTGGTCGGTCCATTATTTGGTTAGTTGGTCAGTTTTGTTTTAGTTGGTCAGTTATAGTTAGTGTAAAATTGATCATCCTCAAAGAACCAGAATGTTAGATAATGGGAAAAGGGTTTGTTGGTTGGTTTGTTTGTTAGTTTGTGTATAAAATAATTCTTCCTCAAGCAACCAAAATGTTAGATGATGGAAAATGTTTTGGTTTCTGTTGGTACAGTGGTGGCCAAAATTGTTAGAACACTTGGCATATTTAAAAGGTTTCAGTTGTTTTTGTTGAATTGGCCATTACAATACCCATAAAACGAAGTATTCGCGGATCTACCTGCGATGGAAGGAATCTGCTGCAACATTGAAAATGATGGACTGGCTCCTCAAAGTCCAGACCTCAACCCCATCGAGCAAATTTGGAGCGAGTTGGAAAATAAACTGGACAGATCTATTGTACATTCAAAGGAAAGCCTTTGGCTTGAGTTGCAGAAGGCATGGGATAACATTAGTTTTGTACGACTAGAGATGTGCTGCTATAATTGCTGCAAAAGGTTAAAACAGTACAACTCGCTTCATCTGATATTTGTTGTGCTCAGAGCAACCATCTGCATGTTTAATGAACATTATGAAATGAAATTGTTTTGGAGGCAAAAAGATCAATATTTTCAGACCTGTCAGGTGTTCTAACAATTTTGGCCACCACTGTATGTTGGTTTGTTAGAATATAAAATTAAACGCCCTCAAAGAACCTAAATGTTTGGTGATGGAGAAAAGACTAGTTAGGTAGTTATGGTATAAAATGTATCCTCCTTGAGCCATAATGTTAGATGATGGGGAAAGAATTGGTTAGTTGGCTAGTTAGTTATAGTATAAAATGAATCATCCTTGAGCCATAATGCTAGATGATGGGGAAAGTTTTGGTTACTTGGCTAGTTAGTTATAGTATAAAATGAATCCTCATTGAAACTTAATGTTAGATGATGGGGAAAGATTTGGTTAGTTAGTTTTAGTTAGTTAGTTATAGTATAAAATGAATCATCCTTGAGCCATAATGCTAGATGATGGGGAAAGAATTGGTTACTTGGCTAGTTAGTTATAGTATAAAATGAATCCTCATTGAAACTTAATGTTAGATGATGGGGAAAGATTTGGTTAGTTAGTTTTAGTTAGTTAGTTAGTTATAGTATAAAATGAATCCTCATTGTTACATGATGGGGGAAAAACTGACTGGTTGATTAGTTAGAGTATGACATGATTCCTCCTCAAAGAATTAAAATGTTAGGTAATGGGAAAAGGTTTTGAACAGATTTGCACGATGCTCTCCTACATTCTTATTATTGTGTGTAAACATCTTATTCCCAAAGATTATATATATGTATATATTTACACACACCCACCCACACACACACACTAAATCATAAATGTGTTGCCATAATAATTATGAAAATGAACCTGTCAAATAAATGTCTGGCTGACGTACACGTGCTTTCAGAGTTGTGGCTTCCTAATGTGTAATGTTGAACAACCAACACAATATGCAACTTGAACAAAGAGAAGTCATCTGTGAAAGTGTATTGTGTATCTGTCAGTATCCTGTAAACGTGAATAGAAAGACACAAATGTTGGGGAGTGTCTGAATCTGAAAAGGGCAGATGAGTGGAGAGATTTTTGTATCTTTTCATACGATATTAACCGGACTTTCAGACCGGTTAAGTGTTACTGTTGTTCATTGCATACTTTTGCTTTGAGTGCATAATTTATTTGAAATCCTAGCATTTGTTTTCTTTCGTGACTCCAGAACAATTAAGGTAGATTTTTGTGTTTAACTGGTGTAACTAGATTATAAAGCTGTTAGGTAGTTTAAGGGGAAGCAATTAAAGACTGACAGAATGGAAAGAATCCTTTGACTTGTTTGTAAAGAATATTGGCGTGGTTTATGAGCTGTAGTAGAGGTGTGAGGTTATTGATCTTGAGACTAAGGTGTGTGTCAGTGCTGATGTGTGTTAGGGAGTAACTCAGACAGGCCCTGACCTGTGTGCTTGTATTTTTAGCTATCTGACGGGAGACCAGTTTTCCAGTGAGTCGTCTCTGGAGGCGTACGCCCGCTGTCTGCGGATGGGCTGCAGATGCATCGAGTGTGAGTCTCAACAGCCATTATTAACGTTGCACACTGCTGTTGATGAATGCTTTACATGCAAACTCATTTTTAAATATTTCTGTTTTTTTATCTTGAAACTAACATGCTGATAATACAACTGTTTTGTATTGAGCAACATTTCTTACAATAGTTCTCTTTTCACCTTTTCCTCCCAGTAGTAAAACTAGCAGACTACGCTTCTAGTACACTGTATATTTACATTATTTTAGTTGGTAAATAATAAAATATATCCTGCTGTTTCAGTTCTAGGTTCTGGAATAAAAGGTGTTTAAAAAATCTGAATTTCCTGTACTTGTTTGTTTGGTTCTTTTGATATGTTTGTTTCTTTTGGTTTATTTGTTTGTTTGTTTCATTAGTTTGTTTCTTTTGGTTTGTTTGTTTCATTAGTTTGTTTCTTTTGGTTTGTTTGTTTCATTAGTTTGTTTCTTTTGGTTTGTTTGTTTCATTAGTTTGTTTCTTTTGGTTTGTTTGTTTCATTAGTTTGTTTCTTTTGGTTTGTTTGTTTCATTAGTTTGTTTCTTTTGGTTTGTTTGTTTCATTAGTTTGTTTCTTTTGGTTTGTTTGTTTCATTAGTTTGTTTCTTTTGGTTTGTTTGTTTCATTAGTTTGTTTCTTTTGGTTTGTTTGTTTCATTAGTTTGTTTCTTTTGGTTTGTTTGTTTCATTAGTTTGTTTCTTTTGGTTTGTTTGTTTCATTAGTTTGTTTCTTTTGGTTTGTTTGTTTCATTAGTTTGTTTCTTTTGGTTTGTTTGTTTCATTAGTTTGTTTCTTTTGGTTTGTTTGTTTCATTAGTTTGTTTCTTTTGGTTTGTTTGTTTCATTAGTTTGTTTCTTTTGGTTTGTTTGTTTCATTAGTTTGTTTCTTTTGGTTTGTTTGTTTCATTAGTTTGTTTCTTTTGGTTTGTTTGTTTCATTAGTTTGTTTCTTTTGGTTTGTTTGTTTCATTAGTTTGTTTCTTTTGGTTTGTTTGTTTCATTAGTTTGTTTCTTTTGGTTTGTTTGTTTCATTAGTTTGTTTCTTTTGGTTTGTTTGTTTCATTAGTTTGTTTCTTTTGGTTTGTTTGTTTCATTAGTTTGTTTCTTTTGGTTTGTTTGTTTCATTAGTTTGTTTCTTTTGGTTTGTTTGTTTCATTAGTTTGTTTCTTTTGGTTTGTTTGTTTCATTAGTTTGTTTCTTTTGGTTTGTTTGTTTCATTAGTTTGTTTCTTTTGGTTTGTTTGTTTCATTAGTTTGTTTCTTTTGGTTTGTTTGTTTCATTAGTTTGTTTCTTTTGGTTTGTTTGTTTCATTAGTTTGTTTCTTTTGGTTTGTTTGTTTCATTAGTTTGTTTCTTTTGGTTTGTTTGTTTCATTAGTTTGTTTCTTTTGGTTTGTTTGTTTCATTAGTTTGTTTCTTTTGGTTTGTTTGTTTCATTAGTTTGTTTCTTTTGGTTTGTTTGTTTCATTAGTTTGTTTCTTTTGGTTTGTTTGTTTCATTAGTTTGTTTCTTTTGGTTTGTTTGTTTCATTAGTTTGTTTCTTTTGGTTTGTTTGTTTCATTAGTTTGTTTCTTTTGGTTTGTTTGTTTCATTAGTTTGTTTCTTTTGGTTTGTTTGTTTCATTAGTTTGTTTCTTTTGGTTTGTTTGTTTCATTAGTTTGTTTCTTTTGGTTTGTTTGTTTCATTAGTTTGTTTCTTTTGGTTTGTTTGTTTCATTAGTTTGTTTCTTTTGGTTTGTTTGTTTCATTAGTTTGTTTCTTTTGGTTTGTTTGTTTCATTAGTTTGTTTCTTTTGGTTTGTTTGTTTCATTAGTTTGTTTCTTTTGGTTTGTTTGTTTCATTAGTTTGTTTCTTTTGGTTTGTTTGTTTCATTAGTTTGTTTCTTTTGGTTTGTTTGTTTCATTAGTTTGTTTCTTTTGGTTTGTTTGTTTCATTAGTTTGTTTCTTTTGGTTTGTTTGTTTCATTAGTTTGTTTCTTTTGGTTTGTTTGTTTCATTAGTTTGTTTCTTTTGGTTTGTTTGTTTCATTAGTTTGTTTCTTTTGGTTTGTTTGTTTCATTAGTTTGTTTCTTTTGGTTTGTTTGTTTCATTAGTTTGTTTCTTTTGGTTTGTTTGTTTCATTAGTTTGTTTCTTTTGGTTTGTTTGTTTCATTGATTTGTTTCTTTTGGTTATTAGTTTTTGTTTTTTGTTTATTAAATTTTTTTATGTAACAAACACATACAGTAACAATAAACAGGCAAACAAAAAGTGCAGAAATGTATAGCAATTATATTAATTTTTTAATTTTTTAGGAACTGAAATTTGACGAACTATTAATTTTTTTGAGCTAGAGCTATGAGACTAGACTGACGCGGCAATATCAGTGTCCTGTAAGTGTGTTGTTGTGTCTCTGGCAGCTGGCTGTAACGTGTGTTTGTGTGCTTTTTTTTGCAGTGGACTGCTGGGACGGTCCTGATGGGATGCCTGTTATCTACCACGGTCACACCCTCACCACCAAGATCAAGTTCAACGATGTGCTTTCCACCATCAAAGAACACGCCTTCATTACGTCTGAGTGAGTGTGGCGTCTGCACACACCAGTTCTCTGTGTGCTTGTGTGATGTTTTCATACGGGAATCTTCTGAATGTGTGTTATGCAGTCATCAACACTTTGGTGTTTGCACACAGCTATCCCATCATCCTCTCCATCGAGGACCACTGCAGTATTGTCCAGCAGAGAAACATGGCCACCTACTTTAAGAAAGTGTTTGGAGAGATGCTCCTGACCAAAGCGGTGGACATCTCAGCCGACGGTCTCCCCTCGCCCAATCAGCTCAAGAGGAAGATCCTGATCAAGGTGAGAGCCCATTGGCTACATGGCAGGAAATGCCATCATTAAGATTTTCTCAGCTAAGAACATTCATTGTTGGATTGATGTGTTCAGCACAAGAAATTAGCTGAGGGAAGTGCGTACGAGGAGGTCTCGTCTTCAACGCCCTACTCGGAGAACGACATCAGCAACTCCATCAAGAACGGCATCCTGTACCTGGAGGATCCCATCAACCACGTGAGCTCGCCTTCGTTTAAATCTTCATCTAAATCTGACGGCAGATTGTTGAAGCTCATCGTGGATGTTCACTGTTGTCCTCACAGGAGTGGTATCCTCACTTCTTTGTCCTGACCAGCAATAAGATCTATTACTCTGAAGAGACGTCAAGTAATCAAGGGAACGAGGATGAGGAGGAGCACAGAGAGGTGAGGAAAACGCAATCTCCGGAATAACAGCAGCACTGCTAACCTGACTGCAGTTTTCAGTAGTGTAACAGTTGTCTAGCTGTTTTCACGTAAGTGTTAGGGATGTGCATCTCATAACTGAGGCCGATGCATAGTTGAAGACACATTTACAGATACAGCTACCGATGTGAAACGGTACGATTCACCCCTATTACGATGCAGTGCGATCCGATTTCGATTCGATTCGATTCCACACAATGCGGTTCGCAGCGCTCGATCACTCGCCCACTCCTGACAGCAAAATGGATATATTTGCATGACTTTCTAACATCTACAGATAGAGAATATACCTGTGGCATGCCAGTTATGCACTGAGGAAAACACATCTCAAATGCATTAAACAGCACAAATATATTCGCTGTTTGCCATGCTGGATCGATTGATCCATGATCGACATTAAGGACTTTAATCCCTTTAATAAAGGCTTTTCCTCAGGTCTCAGTAGTATTGTGATGCATCATATTCAATAGTGGTGCAACGCATCACAAAATTCACGGTTCGGATCATATTTTTGTTTTTGGGTTTTGTTTGATTAGCAGAAGCAGGTATTTATTGGCACATGCGTGCCGAACCGTGGGGCCTGGTCCGTACGTACGTCTACGATCCGTTGCACTCCTAATATTCAAGCAGCAGCAGTGACGAGAGAACGCCTTCAGAAAATTTAGAGAGGAGAAATCAATCTACATACAAAATATTGGTAACAGATTATTGGTCACTTTCTAAACAATAAAAGTATAGCACATCCACTAGTAATTATATATAAATAAATCGGGTTTTACCAATACAAATGCCAACTCGTATCTGATGCACACTTTTTTAAAATCGATGCATCGCATTAGTGCTGGGCGGTATACCGGTTCATACCGAATACCGGTGTTTATTTTTGTTATGATATGAATTTTTTAAATACCGCAATACCGGTGTGTGTCGCTTAAACAACGTTGGGAACGCGACACTGTTTGAAAGGGGTCTCTTTTCACTGTTGCACTGTGGTGAGGGAACAGCTGTATGTGTTACTAAGCGTGAAAGCTCAGAAACTGAAGCTGTAGAACTAATAGAACGTGAGGACACAGAAGAACTCATCCACAATATCCACACTGACCGCCGTAAATATCCAGCGTCCCCCTGCCATCAGCTCCCGCGTCTCACACACACAAGCGCGACTTTAGCACTAGACAAAGGATTAATCGCATCCAAAATAAAAGTTTTTGTTTGCATAATATATGTGTGCATACTGTGTATATTTATTATGTATATATAAATACACACACATGCATGTATATATTTCAAAAAAATATGTTATGTTTATATATTAAATATATTTATAAATAATATAAATTATATGAATATACATATATGCATGTAAATACATGTAAATATTTTCAAAGTATATACTGTATGTGTGTGTATTTATATATACATAATAAATATACACAGTACACACACATATATTATGTAAACAAAAACTTTTATTTTGGATGCGATTAATCGTTTGACAGCACTATTTAAAATAGAAAACCATTATTTTAAATTGCAATAATATTTCAAATTTTTTCAGTTTTTTCTGTATTTTTGATCAAATAAATGCAGCCTTGAGACTTCTTTAAAAAACGTTTAAAATCCTACTGATCCCAAGCGTTTGACTGGCAGTGGTAGCTCTTTGAACGCATGCATGTCATTGAGCATTCAGACTGTAGCTGCTCCTCTTCTCTAGGCAAGGCAAGTTTATTTATATAGCACATTTCATACACAATGGTAATTCAAAGTGCTTTACATAAAAGAAAAGAAAATTATCACAACAATAAAACAAGGAATTAAAA